CAAGGGCTCCAATCCTTCAACCCATGCCTATTTTCCCAGTTGGTTTCACTCTCCACTCAGCCCGGAAATCCTGCTCAATCACAGCCATACGGGCTGACGAGCACCCCACCCTTCCTATCCCTGTTAAGCACCCCACTCTCAGCTCTGCCCATCCCCACCCCTGGGGAACCCACGTGGGCTGTGGTTCCTCAACACTAGCTTCTGAGTTGCCGAGCAGATTCTAAGACAACCTCATCACATCGATTCATGGTGGCCAGCCTCAGTAGGGTCTGGGATGCCTTTCATGGGATCCCGTGGTCATCCCCAGTGACTCTCTGGTCCATGCTCTTTAGCAGGTGTTCTGAACCTTTCCATTTTCCCTCAGGCACCCAAACCCATCTGTGCTTCGCTTCACTCACTCACTAGATGACATTACCACTGACTGCAACGAAATCAAACCCTTCATCTTCCCTCAAATCCACCTCAACGTTTCTCTATTCTCTCCGATCTTTCTTCTCTCTTGGCTCAGGGAAGGTGTTTGACCCTTTCCGAAACCAACCCCTAGACCTGTGCTTTTGATCTCATCCTGCCACGTCCCCAGGGTCGAATTCCAAGGAGCAGCCCTCCTCTTACCTGTACTGTCTCCTGCTTCCCTGTCTCGACCCCTCGGCCTAGCTGTGTCCATGGCTTTCTTCCCCTAGTCAAAGCATCTTGCTTTGCTCCTACCTCTGCTCAAACTACGACCTTTTGTCTTTTTTGAACTTTGCTTTAAAAAAGTCTACGCTCAGTCCGTTCCTATTTCTCCCTTTCTCTTCAACCCACTGCAATCTCTCCCTTACCTCTTAGAAGGCAAATCTAATATCTGCTTTTCTGTTTGAATCTGTTTTGACAGCTCTGCAGCATCTGAGGCTGTTATTCCACTTCCTCTCTTTGAGATGCTTTCCTTCCTTTGTTACTATACTTTTTTCCTCCTGTTTTCCTAATACAAAACTGCTACTCTTCCTTTGGTTGTTCTCCAGATCCCCCACCCCCTTGCGGATCACTTAGATATTGGGATTCCCAAGGGGTCTCTCCTTTACACGTTTTTATGGGCCCTCCTATAAAATCTCAGGACTTCAATCACTGTCTATGTGAAGAAAGTCTCCAAATCCTCAGCTTCCAAGACCTGAATTTCCACCTGCAGCTGACCCGCCCCTGCACATGTGTCACGGCTGCTCCCTCCCGCTCCCATCCGACCGGTTCCTCCCCTTTGCCGCCTGTTTTGGAACTCACAGCATCAGCCTCTTGGCCCAACTCCTGACTCATCCTCGGCTTTTATTTCTCTCTCTCTTCATGCACTTCGTGGGCAAAATCCTGTTCCCTGTGCCTCTGCGATGGGTTTTGCGTGTGCTCCCTGGCAGTGTCCCTTATCTCTTTTCTAGACTACTGTGGTGGCTTGCTAATTCCTCTCCTGCCTCCAGTCTCACTCCTACAACTCATCTGTCACACCGTCCTCAAAGTTACACTCTCAAAACACGGGGGAGATGATGCCACATTCTTCTTCCAAAACCTTCAGTAGTGTCCCGCCACCAATACAATCCAGACTCCTTCGTGTGCGGGTTCAAAGCCCTCCACAGCCCAGCTGGCTGCCTTCCACTTCTCCAGCCTCACCTCCGACTCCATCTCCTGAGGCCTCGGCCTTTTCCATCGAGGCATCACTTTGTTTTATTCATGCTGTCCCCTCAGCTTGGTTTGCCCTTTCCCCTACTTAATGAAACGATTCCTCCTCCTTCAAGACTGAGGTAAAAGGCACTTCCTTTCTCTGTCCGCTCCACTGTAATTGAACGCTTTATTCTTCCGCGGCGCTTGGCTTATACCTTTATTAGTTCATCGTGTTTAGCAAACGGTTCATTGTTTCTCTAGCTAGTTCCCTCGTCTGCAGGTCCCTCCTTGGCTGAGTCTGGGTCTTGTTCCCGTAGCCTTTCCACGGAACCCAAGCCAGCTTTATTCACTGTAGGGGCTCGGTACACCTTTAAACAATTCTCATAATTCTCTTTATTTTGTACTAGTTCTCTAGAAATTTCCTTATAGTCTTTTACTTATTATTTCTTCTTCTAAGCCTCAAAAGAAAAAAAACAACAATAATTAAAAAAAAAAAAACAAAAACTCTCCCCAGTCTCCTTACATATATAGATGGCTGGTTTAGCCGATCCCTCTCGATTTTCTTTATTTTTTTTTATTTTATTTCAGAGGCCTCCCTGGGACCTAAATTCCTTTACGTTTTACTGTTTGTTGACCTCGTTGTCTCACCTTGGCTGGAATCTTGGCCGCGTGATTCTCCAGGATCAGTCTCTTCAGGTGCAGAACCCACAGGCGTTTGTCTTGCTGAGACTTCGCCTACCGGAAGGAGATTGGGACAGTCAGACGACTCCCGCCTCCGCCACTCACAAGATTCAGACGCTCCTAGAACCCTCCGATAAGATGCAAACTACACCACGTGGCCAGAAAGCTCTGGAAAGGCTGCCTGGCACGCAGTTCTCATCATCTGCATGAGTGAGCCTCGCGGGGAGCTGCGGGCACTGCTGTTACCTGAACCGTGTGCTGCAGCTTGGGATTCTTGTAGTGGAAGACGCTGAAGCTGAGCGGCTCCTTGGGGATCACTTCCACGAGCATGAGGTTGCCACACTGTGGGGAAGAGCAGAAAGAGGGGAGGCGCACTTGGAAGACAATGGAACGAACAGGTGAAGTCCTTGCCTGTGACCAATATGCAGACCTACCAGGATGTGAGCTTTGTAAGTAAACGTGTCGTCTCTCTTCTTTGTGATGAGAAGCAGCTTGTCAAAGAGGAAGAGGGTGCGCTCATTCTTGGCCCGCTGGATGCGGAAGGTTCCTTCAAGGACCAGTTCCCCATAGCTGGTCAGGTCTGGCCCCTTCCAGTTAGTGAGCAAACTCTGAATCTCCTGAAAAAGTGAAAGTCCCATGAGATTAAACAAGAGGTGGGAAGGCAAGGCAGCGAGGATAAGGTGGCCCATTTGTTCAGCCTCGAGAAAGGTGTCTAAATATCTTCAACTGGGTCTAATGGATCTGTGTGACATCTAACGGTGTCTAATGATCCATGACATTAACCTACATTTATGGGTGGTGTCACTTAAGGGTTAACAAATGAATCAAGTTGTTAGTTGATGAGGTGCCAATTACTTATTTCCATTCTTGAATAATCCCTCTCCAATGGCTAGCGGCAGCAGTTATGTCTTCCAAAAGCTAGGTAAAGAGGAGCTGATATGTGACCTTCTCAGACTGACATCTGTCCCCTGACTTTCTCACCCCCTATTCTCTGGACAAAAACCTTTAGAGCTATTGACTTGGAAACCTTCTTCCAGAAACTAAATTCCGCACCACATATAAGTAAGTCAAACCCAAAGCCTATGGAAAATCATACAAGAAACATCTTCTCAGAAATTTCTTGATATCGATCTCGTTTGGGGAAAGGAGATGAACATTTGTTCACCACTATGTTTTGAATGGAACTTGATAAATACAAATTGATAACATGACTTTTCACTTTCTTTGGGATTTACTGTACATCCATATCAGTGCTTTTTTTTAAAGGAAGCTTGTTTTATTACTTTGAAAAATGAAAATGTTCACAGACAGCATTTAATTAAGCAGCCCACAAGACAACACAAAACTTGTCTGATTGAAAGTAGAAATGCATAGAAATAGAGGTAAGTGTGAGCCAGACCCGATTTAGCGGTGTCTTTAGAATGCCAAACATCTGACATTATGTCTGACATTATGTCCACAAAACATTTGAAAGATGAAGCATTAAACCTTTCCTTACAGCTGCAAAAAACAGACATGGCCTAGAAGACTAGAGTGTCACCTTCCTTTGGTTTTTGATAGTTAATTGCATTACACTACACTTGGCTGCCTACTGATGAAATCAGGAGTTTCGTTGGGACTTATGGGCCGAATTATGTATCTTTTTTTCCTGAGTTGGGCATAGATGCTCTGCAGGTCACCCTGGGCTTTTAAGGCTCACTCCAGGGATACCCAGGAGTCTAGGACTTCCCCCTGGGCCCAAACGACCTTTTGTTTTTAAATAGTGCTCTTTTGAGGTACCTAGGACATGACAACCGGTTTAGCATCTATGAAAAATTTTCAGGGATTTAGGGCTTAAAATGTTGATGCCGGAAGGGACCTCGGCAAAACCATCATCTGTCTTATTTGAAAAATGAGGGATCTAGAAGGAAGTAGTGAGGTCTCGTCCCAAGTGGAACTGCAAAGGACCTGGTTCCAGACTTAGCCGTCCTGTCTCTGAGCTCCATCACCACACACACGTGCATCATCTTATGAACCAGTGAGAGAGGGACGGAAGTTTAAAAAGCCTTTAAACAGCTTAGAGAAAGTCGCTTTTAACAAGTATTACTTTTTTTTTTTTTGTAATTAACATGAGAGAAGGTCTTAAGAGACTCAAATTTTTACCTTGGGCTATGAGCGAACTATTAGCTTAAAAGCGACCACATGACTTTCTCTTCAACACCACATTCAACAATGATCGGTGTTATCGGGTGTCCTGATCTTTCTTTAGGGAGAGCTATGATGAAGACTGCAAAGGAAGTGCCATACTCGAGCCGCCTTAATATTTGATTTAGGAAAATGATGGCAACTCAGTGCACCTGCAGCACCGCCGGGCGCCGCCACCATCTCGAGGGCTCACCTGCAACCGGACTGCATGCTCGTGTTTCCGCTTCATGTCGTTGATGTGCCAGGCCACGCGCTGCATCGTGTCTATAGCATCGAGCACCACATCATAGCCTTCTGTGTCCTTGTCAAGGTGATTTTCTATTTCCTTAGAAAGAAAAAACCCAAAACTAGTTATTTTCACTTTTTCCCTCATAGAGTCAATGAAACAGATGGCACATCTATGATTAGTTCCTCATATTTTATTTTTGACTATTTATTTATACATTATCCCTTAAGATTTTGAGATAATTTGCCAGAAATACCTGTTACAAAAATGGTAAGATAGGAATTAAAACGGGGGTAGGAAAAATAGAAGTAGATGAGAATTTCGTGACAGGGAGGATAAAACAAAACATGTATGCAGGCCATTAAGTCTCACAGAGATATTATGGTTATTATAATAGATATGACAGTTGATATTATAGTTGGAGTTTTCTGAGCTTCCTGGTGGTCAATGTGATATAGTTCTCACTCTTACACAAAGAAAACATAATTATTTTTCTCCCAGAGCAAGTAAAATGTCTTGCACAGGACTTAATACGTAACAGACTCAAAAATATAATGGACATTAGCTTTAAAAAATACTTCCACGACATGTTCACTTTCATGTAGTTATGGATTTAAAGCCCAAACGAAGTTCACTAAAGACAACGCTTCAGCATGTTGAGGAAGACTCTCTGGCACTGGGCACCAGAGTTCCACAGTCTCAGACAGCTGAGGAAGGTATACGACCTCTGTCCTAATTCTTTCCACTGTATAAGACACGTGTCCTTAGAATCTTCAAGAGTGTAAGGACAGAGACGATTGCACAGTCCCTTTAATCCTTTATCTTCTCAGAAGGGCTCACCAGAGAGCTGGGTGGTCAATAAATGCTTATTAAATTGAAGCAATATCTTCTTAAAACAAAAACAACAGTAACCCTACATAAATGTATAAAACAGTAAGAAGACATAGTCAGAACATGTCCGTGACATTTATCATGCCTGTTCATTAAGCTAAAGGATGGAGGTTTAAGCTTATGGTATAACTCATGAAGATTAGCTCCATTATTTTACAATCATACTTCAAAAATCTTTGTTTACTTTTGCTGAGTATTCAAGTTTTCCGTCTAGCTGGAAACTGGAAAGGAATTTACATTTTGTATCCACACTCAGACTCGGCCATTAGAAAGGTCCTATGAAATGGCACCACCAAACTATCATCTCCCTGGTAAGCTGGAGATCAACAGCGAGTTAAAAAGTAGCAATTCCTTCTTTTAGCGTAAGAGGCAATCCTGTTCATTGACCAGCAGACTGAGGAGGACAGAGTGTATGCTTGTGGAGATCTCCATGGACGGCCACACAACTTTAAAGTGATGCGAATGACATAGAAGGAACACTCTCAATAAACTATAAAAGCAAAAATACCTCAAAGATAGCCAAAAGTTAGTTTTCAATTAATCTAACCTTTGTTCTCTCCTGTTTTCTTCATTATCAGCTGTTATAGACTGAATGTTTGCATCTCTCTCAAGATTCATATGTTGAAATCCTAACCCTTGATGTACTGGTCTTCGGGTGGTGATTTGGTCATCAGGGTGGAGCCCTTATGGGGTCAGCTCTCTTATAAAAGACATCCCAGAGAGCGCTCATGCATCTTTACTCCATGTGAGGAAACTAGATGTCAGCCGTCTGCAACCCAGAAGGGGCTCTCACCAGAACTCAACCCTGCTGGTACCCTGACCTCAGGCTTTCGGTCTCCAAAAATGTGAGAAGTAAATGTTTTTGCTTAAGCCACCAAGTCTATGGTACTTTGCTCTAAAGCCAGACCTGATTAAGACATTAGCTCTTAATTTAGACAGTAAGGGTTGATTTCCTTATCGATTAATTTTTTGTAAGGATCTTAGCTTGTTATAGTTGACATACTTTTATAACTGAGATCTTGGACTTTTCTTTTGATTTACAGATACTTTACTGTCTAGAAGGCCATGCTTAGAGCTTACTGGGACACACTAGTCTTCGATGCCATATCTGCAGAGTCCAGCAGAGATCTACCCTGAGACAGGTTTTACTTAGTTAAGAATTATTTGACATGGATTTAGCAAATTAATCTCACTAATCTAAGAGGTCATTAGTATCAATGTGACAATTGAAGTAATATCTCTGATGTGGCTTCACAGTATACAAGAGTCTCCAAAGATGAGCCAGCCACCCAGGCAAACAGAAAAAGCTGAGAAATTTCTGATACAGTCGAACCATTTAAGAGTTCTTAAATTTTTAAATGTGTGAACTGAGCAATCGTGGAATGCTTGTCCAAGATAGAAACCTGAAATCATTTTTAAAAAGATACATATAAATTGCAGGCATGTTGATATGGAGAGGAGCTCTGGATTAAGATCTCTTTAAGATTTTAATGTAGGAAAAAAATAATAAAATACAAATAATAGCTTATTTTTATTGACTGTCCGTGGGCCATAGTGAACATGGGCGATTTACAGGATTTGAACTCAGGCAGCCTTGCCCCAGACCCCAGCTCCTGTCTCGTGCCATACTGCCTCATGTTGTACAAACAACCCTCTCCTACCTACAGGATAAAAATTACTTTCCGCAAAACATTTTTTCTCCTTTTTATCAACTTCCTTAGATGATAAGAAATGAGGATGTGAGTGCTATGTCTACTTTTGTTTCTGAAGCCACCTCGAATTTTGTCCAGAGGATGGGAAATGATAGGAAGGAAAGACACCCTGCGGCGACGCTAGATCCTTCATCACGCTGCCCACCTGTCTTCTCCCCTTTCGGCCCCTTCTCTTTGCTCACACAAAAGCCCATCTATGACAAATTACTCTCTCTCTCTCTCAACTGCCTACTGAATCCGAGCTCATGGAAATAAAACAAAACGTAAGAAACCTGTTTTTCATTAAGATGATAGCTCCCTGCCTGACACTGTCACTGCCCAGAGTGAGATGCTCCTGAGCCCTCTCAGAATCAGAGCGAAAATGAATCTTTTTTACTTGGCTGTTGTCAATGGGCTGCGGGCCTGGAATATAAATATCTCTAATTCCTCAAAGCAGATTAGTCAGTTATAAAGTATGAGTTGGGAAAATGTTTCCATATGTCCCCAGCCTTTTCTGCTCTTTTCCCCCCTTAACTTAATATCTACTCACAAACTCCCCATGCCCTGGCAAGAACTCAAGCACAGACAGAAACTTACGTGCAAAAGAAGGTGATACTTGAGAATCCGCTGAACTGGTTTCAAGAGATAAGACCCCAGAGGCAGTGAGTGTTTCAAAGTTTCCTGACGTTCCCTGAAGAATTTGGCCAGTGTCTTGTTCCTCATGCACTCTGTTAGCACAGCCACCGATCTGCAGGAGGGATAAATATTTTTATCTAAATTGCAATGCTTAAGATGGGTCTTCAAGCTTTAAAGGCCAGTGTATGAGGAAATGCCCTAAAACAGGTAGGAAAGCAACAGAGCTACAGCTAGATGAGAAGGCCTCTGGGCGAGTGAGTCGAAGGTCTTTCTCTGCGTAGGTGAATTAGAAAAACTCCAACGGTGATGGTAGCGCACGGACACGTGGCTCGGCAAAGGGGATTTCCGCTGGCTGTGCGCCCCGTCTCGGTGTCTCTGTGCAGTGCTCAAAATGCACATCTGTATTCAGTTTTCACAGGTTAGATTGCAAGGAGGGGGCACCTTCGTACTAAGAAAAAGGAGCTCCTTCTTCTCAGGAGATCCAGCCTCATGCTGGATGCTGTCGCCCCTCCCGCTGGCCGTCTTTGTATCACACACAAATCACCTGGCTTACGTAAGTGCTGGTCTTTGGACACCTTGCCCCACGGGTCGAATTCCCTTGGAGAATCTTTGAACAGATTCCCCTTCTCACCTCCAAGTGGCTCTGCTCATTCTGAAGACAGCTTCTGAGGAGCTGGAGAATCTTGCTCCTAAGTAGCGTGCCTCGATGAGTGTATTAGAAAAGTGGGTCAGAATCTCTTCTCCATCCCAGCTCCCCCAAAGGCAATAAGAGTGGCGCCCAAGCATCTTAGGGGGATGGTTCAAACCATGCTCATACCCTATACGTGAAGCGAACTAGCGGGCTGTGTAGTCACAAACAAATGAAAATCGTATGCTCTCATAACTTAGAAGAAAGCAGGTGGGAGTGAGTAATTTCTCCACAAGTTGCTAATATGCTTTCAGGATTAATTGAGAAAATCAGAGCCAAACAACAAAATAATACTTCTGGGAAGGAAGCGAAATGCAAATTTCCTAATTAAGCCATTAGAGTCTCGTTCGAGCTCATCTGCTGTGAGAACTATCTAATTGAACAGGTTTATTTCCCCACTAAGTTGAGATTTCAAAACTTTCTTTCATCAAGTCACCGAGGACATTTTGCAAGGTTCCTTAGGGTCAGGATCAGCTGCTCAGCAGCCCTCAACCATCCGAAGGCTGGAACCCTTGGCCAAGAACAAGACACTTGCAACAATGCTGAGCTCACCGAACTCCAGATTCGGGGCAGAGGGAGACATCCAAGGACAAGGACCTGATGGAGTCTGGGCCCTTCCCTGCCAGAAAGAGGGAGGCCTTGCGCCTCTTCACAGCGAAATCACTAGGGCGTGCCTGGTATGAAGAAGGTGGACATCTGTCAAGGTGTGCCAGCGACATGTAATATCACCGGCCTGGATCCCACGGGAGAAGGAATGTTGTCAGATGCGCTGAAACGCCTGGCTTTCAGACAGGGGTGAGGAAATCCCAAGCCTCAGAGAGCAAACTGACTGGAGGGACAAGAGGACAAGAGAATAAGTTTTTCTACGACTAGGAAAACCACACAACTGGGCAAGAACTGGACGTACCTGCTTCACTGAGAACGCCATTTGAGCCTCCCTCTACTAAGACGTTTCTTTCCTTCAAGTCAGACTCAAAATAAAAACCACTTTCTCCAGGAAACTGTCTTTAACTCTCCTCGGTGGGAATTACTACTCCTTTATCTCACAATGTGTCCTTTGCTTCTATGACACATTACTGAGGTTGTACTACATTAATTTGTATTTATTGATTTGATGTGCCCTAACTCACTATGCCGCTATTACATTCAGTTGAGTTTTGATGCTCAAAAGAATATAAACAGCTAGAAGGCAAGGAATATCATTCCTAATAGTTCCTATTTTCTACCAACAGACACCAAGCTTTGAATCATGGTCCGTGCATGGCAGGCTCTTAAAAATGTTCTTGAACAAATGATTCTGCCTTTCCCCTGGCCCTGAAGGAAGAAGCCTACTATATGAAAAGCTGCCTGTATTTCATATTCTCCTTTCTTATTACTGAGTTAGAAAAATCTTAATGTGAACTACCAAAATTGTAAATTCAGAAGTTCTTTCTTCAAATGGCATGTTGACAATGAAAATCATTCAGCTATCATCTCCCGATAAGCCCCTCTAGTGCCTCAGAGCCCATCGCTGGGTCCAGAACGTTGTTGAGTCTTCCCAGTTTGAATGTTTTTTCCTTTCCCTCAGGAAGAAGTTCTGAGGAGACGCTGATTCTGCGATTTCTCTGAAACAGGCTGTGGTGCAATGCCACAGCTTTCAGTGTAAGGACCGCAGATTTATTTGGGATGTCCTACAATTTCCTGATCTCCTCAGCATAGATGTCGAAAACTTTAGAACATTGCTTCAGTCAAATTGTGTAAACTGTGGGTGCGTCTACAGATATGCGTGTGGTGATAAGTGTACTAATCTGCCCGTAGGTTTTTGTTTTGTTTTTAGGGAAATCTGGGAAAAGCATGGCCACCCACCAAATAAATCACCACAGCCTGATATGCTGACCGATATCTAGAGGAGGAGACTAAAATCCTCCAGTGGAAAGTGTCTCGCCATCAAGAAGTCTGGGCCTCTGGCTTCATGCCTTTTCATCCACACTGGTTTTCTAGGGCCACTCTGGGGCAGGGGCCCATCTGTTGTTCCTTATTGCAGTAGCATCAGAGGCTCAGCCTGCTGGCTCCTCTTCCAGGTAGGTTCCACCACCCGCTTGATCCTCAGGGCTGTGTCTCTACCGAGGCTGGATGCAGAGCACTTAAAAAGCTCCCTGGCTGGTCGCTGGGATAACAACTCAAGTCCTGCCGATCATGTGGGAAAACTATAGTCAAAAGGCATGGGGGATGCTGGGGGTGGAATCGCCCAGCTTCGGAAGCCTTACAAGGATGTATAGCACGAGGTCTGAGGTTGCAGAATCCCAGCAGGATCGCTCAGGAGCTATGTGACCCTTATAAAATCAATAAGCCTCATTCCTGGAGCCTCATTGCTTCATCCACATGACGAGGATGGAGCAGCGATGATGGTGAACGAACACTGGCTGAGAACCTATCACGTGCCCAGCGCTGTGATGGCTGCTCTGCTTTTCCTTAATCCCTCGATATGTCTGGATTGCTGGGAAAGTGACGTTCAACAACATTTTGTATTTACAGCATCTAACACAGTGATTGGGAATCAATAAGTGCTCAGTAAATGTCTTTTGCACAAAGAAGAAATTTCAGCAGTATGACTCACGGTCTTAGGCCTGACTCCTTCACTGAAATGGTCAATATATTGTCCAGGGGGTGCTTCCTAAACTGCTCCCCTCGCCCCCCGCTAGCACCCCCAGTGTAAGCAACACTGAAGCTAAGATCCAGGAGAGATCACGAGCCCTCTCTCACCTAAGCGTTCCTTTCTCTGAACTCCATAAAACTCAAAACAGTTCATAGAACTTATATAGCAAACATACAACATATTTTCTCTCCAGCTAGATTATAGAAACTCATTAGCAGTGCTTTCCATATTTTTAAAGACATGGCACAAATACAGAAGGGTTAATAGACCAGACTTCTAGGCAGACACACCGGTTTACTTAGTTTTCCATGGAAGGACACCTAACCATCTTTTGGGTCTCCTTTAAGGTCTCTCAAGATTTTCCCCTCCACTGGCTGTGACAGGAGCCCCAAAGCCCGAATGGATCAATACCTGGCACCCCTGTAATCGTTCTCAGCGTGTTTTCCCGTTTCCCCATAGCAGTCAGCACAGGGGGGCACATAATGCCTCATATCAACAGATATTAAACTGACTGACTTGAAACAACATGAACGTGAACAAAAGTGCTCTGAACACTCAGAGTGCGTATCGTACCTCGGGTAGTTAGTGCAATACTGGGTGTAAATGTGGAACTCTTCACTCTGCAAGGAAACAAAAGAGACTTTTATAGGCAAAAAAGCGGAAACATCAGTGTCCATTTCAAAACAATAAGAAGAAACAGCATTCACGCCTCTAAATTTGTTTCTATGATCACATGGGCCTGTCTCCTGAGCCCCTGTGGCAATCATCTGTGCCTTTTTATCTACCTGGGATCCACATGCACTTGAACTCATTTGAGTTCAATAAACACTTATTGAACATCTGCTGTGTTAGGT